ATTCGAAATATCACTTTCTCATTGAATAATTGCTATTCTTGCTTCAACACTATATACCGTTAATTTTGTCCTAACATTAAGGTGCTTCGGTACATTGTTACGTTACGTTTTTATTACCGTCATTTAATATTAGTGTTATTATTATTATTATTATTATTATTATTATTATTATTATTATTATTATTATTATTATTATATTACCATTATTATTATTATTATTAATATTATTATTATTATTATTATTATTATTATTATTATTATTATTATTATTATTATTATTATTATTATTATTATTATTTACGTTTAATTTGATTATATAATTTTTTTCATAGATCGTGGATCTCTGTGTTTCGAAATACCACATGTCTGTCTAGTTTAAACATATATAAAGCTTATTTAAATATGTATATTATATGTATATATATATATATATATATATATATATACATATATATATATATATATACATATATATATATACCCACACATATATATACATATATATATATATATCATGCTTTTTTATGAATAACAATGGAGAGAGAGAGAGAGAGAGAGAGAGAGAGGGAGAGAGGGAGAGAAAAAGATAGATAGAGAGAGAGAGAAAGGAAAGAGAGAGAGAGAGAGAGAGAGAGAGAGAGAGAGCGAGAAATTTTTAATATGAAGTATTTTTTTCTTTCTTTTTTGTATTTCAATTTTTGTATTTGTTTTCTTAGTTAACAAAGAGTTGTACCAGGAAACTTGAATTGTGTACGCGAGCGAATATATCGTGCATCCTTACTTAATCAGTCAAATATACATTGATTTTTTTCCTTCGCGCGCTTCTATCATTTATTTTCTTGTAAATATTATATGTAATCTATTTATCTATGATTATATACATACAATATTATACTTTCAACGATCCACGGTTCCTCGATGATCCTAACGTATCTTTATTTTTGTTCTTTTTTGCTTTTATTTTCTTTTCTTTTTTTCGTAAGTTTATTTTTTCCATCCCTACTTTACTCTCTCATATCGTCTATGTAGTTTATTTTATTTTATTTTTTACATTATTTTATTTTTTTACCTTTGATTTATTTCCTTTTTTTATTTTGATTTTCTTCCATTTTCTTTCTCTTTTTTTTTTGTTTATTATTTACGACTTTTAGCATGTAAACTATTCAACTTGCCAATACAAATAAATATGTTTGAAAGGAGATAACAAAAATTATGATGATGATGAAAAATGATTATCCTGATTGAATTCTCGTAAGAGTTCATTTCGTTTTCCTTTTTTATTTGTTCATTTTCTTTTTTTTCTTTCTTTTTCTTTTCTCTTTCAATTTTCAATTTAAATTTAACACGTAAGTATATATTATGTACCTCGTTTTTTCTTTTTAAATTAAATGCGAATTCTCTTTTTTTTTTTCTTGTTCTTTTTTTTTTTATCGTCGTGCGTCCAATTGTTCCGCGTGAAGAAAAAGAAAAAAAAAAGAATACCAGACGGATATTCTCCATTCAAAGTACAAAATATTTATCGTAATTAGGATTAAGCAGGTTCGAACGAGAGCCTTTGAGTTTAAAGAAGAAAGAAGAAAAACTCAAAAAAAAAAAAAAAAAAAAAAGAAAAAAAGAAAAAAGAGAAAAAAAAGAATAAGATTAAAAAGGACAAAAAAAAAGGAGGAAACAAAATAAAAGGATAACGATCGATGATCGAGCCAAACGATTTAAATGATCTTACTCTCTTAAATGAAAGAAACTCAGAGGGAGATAAAAGAAGAAGGAAAGAAAAGATAAAGAGTAAGAGAAAGTTAGAGGATGTAACGTCGTACGTCGTTATCAATTTTTTATCACCGGTCTCGTTTGTAATGTGTCAAAAGGTCATCCAAGTAGTCGCGTGGCTTCAAACTAATTAATAATTAGCAAGCTTTACGCGAGCGCAAACGAGTTTATAAATCCTTTAGATTAGCTATATCGAACGTGTATTCGTGTAGAGAGAAAGAGAGAGAGAGAGAGAGAGAGAGAGAGAGAGAGAGAGAGAGAGAGAGAGAGAGAGAGTGAGAGAGAGAGAGAGAAACAGAGCGAAAGATACATCAGATAAAAT